TGGGATTTGCACCTATCTTGAGTCTTAAGCATCAGTATTAATCGGTGCATTCTATTACACCCCGATTAGATTATGAATGAATTCGTGTGGTGTGTATATGGTGCTTATTGTGGGGCAGGCCTGTTGTAAGTTTGAACATAGTGTATGTCGTAAAGGCGTAGTTCAAACATAAGTTGATTACCACATAAGTGGGTTTAAGTTAAAATTGCTAACGCCATAAGTTAGAAGCACAGTAATAACTTGGAAATTCAAAGGTATTCCTTTCCACATATCTATATCCCAACTCAACCACTTACCTCCTGAGGAGCACAAATGTTGTTGAAATCGTTGAAATTGCTTCTCAGAGCTGAGTATAAGAATTTGGTGTCTTATATGTGCAGATCACGTGGCGGCTGAGTGAGAGCAACAATGTCGTCATTGCTTCTATTTGCCAGAGTGATATATGGTTATTCCACATGTTCCCTTGAGAATAGAGGCACGGGCAGTCGAATATTGCTTCCATAAATGCATTCACATTTAAGTTGCTTGAGAGGCGAGAAGCCTGAATATAAAAATGTATGTAAATAAGAAAACAATGTCTAGTTTGTATCGCTGCATATTGCTACATCTGAATACACGAGTTGTTGGTTTATATTTCCCTTTTACAAATTGCATTCCAATTGTATGATTGCCATCGTATCCTTGAACGAACTGTCCATGTTGGAACACCTGCAGAGCAGTGCATCACCTTCTCTTAAAGAACATCTCGCGAAGAAGTCGCAGAATTTATTCCGAAGTCCCCTCAAGTGACTTCGTTTGTTCACACACGAGGGGGGTGATATTTGCACGCACCCTGCTATCGATACATTTTAATTGCACGTCAGTTCGACACAGTATATTTGAATTCTTGGGTGGAATTTAGCAAGTCAAATTAGAAAATATATTTTTGTATGCGACTTGCTTTTGCGCTCGGTCATTTGTGACTGGCCTGAGACGATAAACTTTCTGCACATTGCGAAAACCCAGTTTTATCGCGGGTGGCTTAAAATGTGGATTTGATCCCAGGTTATCGGCAGTGCCAAATCGGTGCCATGACCTTTGAGCCTTCCAGGCATATCTATTTCTACTCTTTGGTTTATTCGGTAAAGTCACGTAGGTAAAAAATATATAAAATAAATAAATGAGAAAACAACTCAATTAAATCACGACGTTTCGGAAGCAACACAAGCATCCGTCATCAGGTATGTCCGCTCCAGCAAAATTACTGTAGCGTAATTACAGTAGCATATGGGATTTTAATTTTGCTGGAGCGGTCATACCTGATGACGGATGCTTGTGTTGCTTCCGAAACGTCGTGATTTAAATTAGTTGTTTATTTCATTTTTTATTATTATTTAGTTTTAATTTTTTACCTACGTGACTTTACCGAAAAAACCAATGAGTATGAATCCTTGCAGTCACGAAAACTTCAAATCTAGATTATCTATTTCAGTTTTTTATTACACATCGCATATGCAAATGCATGTTTGTGTCTTGGGGGAAGAATGTTATGTTGTATACATAAATGGTGTTCAAAAAGCTGATTTACATCATTTTAATGCACATCCCATAAGACCCAGGCAAAAATGCTTTCACTGAATATATAATGTGCTACTGAGCACATTATATATTCATGTATTGCGCGTGGGTGTGTATTTTACCGAGATTATCTGAAGTATGTACACAGTATGGGGGACTCCATTATATGTGGTAATTCTGCTTAGAAATGGCACGCTTATAACTGTTTTTCCCATGTAATATTGGAAAATTGCAATAGGATGCTAAACACTTGCAAAAACACATGATGTCAGCAGTAGTTTAGATTTTTATTTTAACCATTCTGCTTTAAAACACCAACTGTGGTGTTCTAAAAACGATGAGCTTATCAAAAAAATAATCATGCAATGCTTTTCTAGAAAATGTAATTAAAGGGGGACAGTGGTAACACTATCATTAGCACCCTGCACTGTGAATACAGTGATCTGAGTTTAACTCTCAGCCAAGGCTGATGTATAGTGTGCGAGCTATATTTGAAACAGTCCTGGGCCCCTTCATTCACCCACTTTAACTGACCAGCATGATGAAGTGCAGTCGAACACATTGCACAGCCGACATGGTGCAGAGTGGCCTTCATCAGCAGTGAATTGAAAAAATGGCTGTAAAGTTAATCATACCTTGTTTGCATGGAGATGTGCAAGCCGTTTTGACCAACTAAAAATGATCGTTATTGAATCAAATACAATTTCTGTACTCGCCAGAATTTCCAATATGTATAAAATTGGAATTTACGGTGTAAAAAAAACCAAGGTATTTAAAAAAGATAAGGCCCCCCAAAGTAAATTCGTCTACTGTCATGTGATTTTATGATCACTGCCTGCATTGTTCGTGTTAGTGATGACATTCATGGGAGTGTGCCATTGTATTTGTTGCATTAATGCCTAACACTTTCATTTTTTTTCCATTTGCAGAGAGTGTAAAGATAGTCAACCTTCATGGAAAGCTGAAGTCAAACAAAAAACAAGCCTCCGAGCTGCACTTTGACTTCCAGATCGATTTCATAGGTGAGCAGACATAGCCTGTCACAGAACCCTCATGCATTCTGCACATACACTGCATACATGGAATGCATGTAAAGTACAACTTATCTTACTTTGCAGTTTTGAACGTTGCACATATCATCTCTATGCATTGGTTAAATTTGTCTATTTATTGGAATTGTGTACAAAAGGGTGTGAGCGTTTTCCCATTTTGCGAACATCAGAGATGCCATTGTCTTGTATGTTACACCTTACACTTAAATTGGGAAAATTGATTGGCAGAAATGTGATGTTTGTAAATCAGCATAGATATCTGTTGCCATTTATATCAAATATTCAGTAAGATTTGAAAACATTAAGTGAGAGTTTTCAAAAAGAAGATCTCAAATGGTCTAAGTACCAGTCACAAGCACCACGTCACCTCTGCATATATTGGCGATGGCCAACATAAACCTTGAAAAACTCTCTCGAGGTGCGTTGTGCGTGAAGCAGTCATGTGTTAAAACGTCGCATATCGTCCCAACGACTCTCGTACGGGTTTGGTGAACCTTCGGACATCTATCCGTGTATGGGGGTGTCTTGAGTCATCGTGTTGCCGTTCCCGTTCCCTGCAGTGTGTCTGCAGGACAGTGTTCTCGCCTTCTGGAAACACGGCATGCAGGGCAAAAGCTTCAAAGCCAACGAGGTATTAACATGCTGCCAGCCGAGTGTAAGAGTGAGGGTATTGCTTTGAGAACAGTTAAGCTCTCCGAACTATGCACGCTGTCAAACTGTTAATGCTTGGAGGCAGGGGTCCTAAGTAAAATGTTATGGCTGGAGAAGTTTCCTTTTTTTTCTGCGTTGATTTAATTGCCTTCAATATAATTAATGTGGCACTGACCTGCAGCAGTTGTAGGTTATACAGGGCCATAACCTATTAAAATATATCGTAAGTAATGTGTACATGGCATGTCTGAATGTTTTGACTTTGAATTGGTGCTTTGAATGACAGCACAACTGTTTTGCCCTTTTATGGCATTTAATTGGACTTCCTTAATCATTCATGTTAAAAACCCATTATTGGCATCGTCATAATAAAAAATGAAAATCTGCAAATATTAGCTTGTGTATGTAGTCACAGAGAGGTGATACTTTGGCCATTTGGCCATCATCAATACAGCAATTGATACGTGCGCATTTCTCCCAACGTCAGGTCTCGTCAGTTTTGAGTCATCAAACAGCAGTCGGATCATTTTGCTACGAGACATTTGTAACTGTTCTTTGTGTTCACGGATGGACAAGTATGGGGTGTGGTGGTATGTGAACTGCCTCCGTTAGTTTGCGTTAATTGGGCCTGCGTCGTTCAAGTTGCAAATGAGTGCTGTGTCTGCCTCAACTCTGCCTCGTTACTGATCACCCCATCAACCTCTGCCCTCCCGTTAGGCATTGCTTCGCGTAAGCGTCTCTTTCTAGAAATAATTAACTTAGCGGTACAGCCCAGCACTTGTCATTCAACTTCACCTCTAGCTATTAAAAAAACGCATATTGGATTGCGTTTCATTAACCTTTCCCTTCAATTGATTGGTGCCGTGTGTTTTTTTTCCCCCAGGTTACCCAAGAGATCTCGGACCACACGAGGGTCTTTCGGCTGCTCGGATCGGAAAGGTATTGCCACTCATGTCATTGTCACGAATCGCCAGCTTTCCGACGGCCGAGTATATTGAACCACTGGCTGACTGCACAAATAGCTCGATAGGTTTTTCAAGTTGTAACACCTCTGTAATCCGGGATCCGGGTTTAAAGTCCAGCATGAAATGAACACCCAAGAGAAGGGTTATCTGACCCGTTGGTCTTCAGTTATGTTTGTTGGGCTAACCAAACAGACTTCAGTGATTCTTCACTCCTAATGGAATGTAACACATCTGTCGTGAATCCGGTCTAAATCATTATATTTGAACAGAAGGTTTGTAGCCAGTTGGTGGTGGTCGTCAACATTTTAAAAGTAGATTTGGTGATTATTAATTTGTTCTTGAAACATCTAACAGTTTAATTCAAAGTCTGTTGTCGAGTAATAATTTGTATTCACTCCAGCAGTGCTGAGGTTTTATTTATGTTTGGAAACACGCACTTTCACCAACCGTAAATTCCGAAGGGTTAAAGATTAATATGAACACCTTTGGGCCAAATAGTGTGATACGGATGAGTAACCACAAGTGTGCATTTTTTTCTCTTTGTATTTTACCCCCCTTCTCTTTTCACATTGAGAAAACCCTACATCTCCCTAAAGCGTGCCGTCCAATGCAGAAACGATTTATTTCTATGGGAGAATATTTTTTAAAAATAGTTTTGTGAGAAACGTTTTTACACAATTGCTTTAAAGAGGGGGGCATTGTTAGGTGTGCATTTAAGCGTGCATTGAGCAGCACGGACGAGAAAAAAACATTAAGAGTATTTTAAAATAACAATCCGCCTTGCCGTGTTGACGTTGCATGGGCTGCTACCTTGCTTTGGAATGCCACTGGCTGGGCTCGTCAAACGCACAATCCGCGCGTGAACCAGTCTCTTGGAAGCTGTGGCCTCGTGGGGCAAACTCGGGCTCTGTGGAGCACAGAGACGGACAGACAGCACCAGAGATTGAGTTCCTGAGCTGTGGCTATACTTCGTTAGCATCAACTGTGCGCCCGTCCCCGCAGACTTGTCAGTGAATTTCTTGTAAACGGCATCGTATATTGTCATTACGGCTCGCGGGCACTTCTTCAGTGTGTGGTGCTTTTGCTTTGTGGTTGCGATTTTAAAATTGTGTTCCGTTTGAAAGGGATATTTTGTGTTGACTTGATTTTATTGACGAGGAGAAATATTTCTTCGAATTAACATTTTGTTTCGTAAATGATGTTTACGCGAAGCATATTGTGCAGTTAACACATCGAAAATGAAGAAGTCATCAGATTTTAAGTGAAAAATCTAAAGATAATTCAAAATAATGAAATGACAGCTTTGGTAGTCTCATCACTAATTTGCACAATTTTTACATTTGGGCTTTATTATCAGCCTGACTTATCTTTAGAGAATGGTAACACCACAGAGCCAGCCCAGGCAGCTACGCTACATTTGTTTATGAGTTATACACCACCCGTAGACTTGGCAATTGCAACTGCCCATACGCATTTAAATGCCTGTTACAAAACTTGTTACAGCCGACTAAACCCACAAAGGCATCCAATCTGCTCGACCTGTTTGTCTCATTTTCCTTTGATGTCCCATTTCCGCCTCATAAAAAAAAACATTCTTTGGCTCAACAGGGGACCCAACTATTTATTTGCTTAAGATAGCAATGGAATATTAAGTTGAGCAATGTTGACACAGGAGTGAGCACAAAGCTGTTCAATGTATCCCTGTGCTGTTTTGTTTGCTTGGCAAATAATTGTAGTGCAATTAATAATAGAGCCTGCCCTGTGAGCGGCCTTTTAATAAATAAAGAAAGCAATACAATACAGTACGTAGCTTTTTTAATATACAATTGCTTTAGTTTAAAAACAAATTGGGCTCCTACGTGTACAGGATGAAAAATAATGGATATGACTGTGTCTTTGAGTATTTATAGTATTGTATTGTCCATTCCCTGCACCTCCGATTAGCGCAGTTTGCTATGCACGGTGCAAAATAAGCTCAACATACATACATTTTAATATAATTCCTGTCATGTATTTTTGTTAAGGCATGAGACTGCGGAGTCATTGAATTAATTTAGTATTTAATCGAATGTGTTTGACGGGGTATTATATTCCATTATATAAATGTGTAAGTTATAGTATTAAACTGTTTTGTACGCATGACGTTACGCATCTGCTAAGTGTGTAAATATATTCTATGGGCATCTTAAGGAATGTTCCAGGTGACAATATTTTAATGGACAAAAGTTAGCGTCGCCATGGATTGTGCGATCATTTAAGAGCTATCGCACAGTTTGCTTGCATTTACAAGCCTGCACATTTGATATTTTACAGCTCGGACAGTGTATAGCATTGATTTTACTTGCGTAAACTTTAATGTTTCGCAAACAAGTAGCTCATAGCAAACTGCACTGGTTATCACTGAGGGTGCCTTAACCCTTAAAATGCACTCACTCTGCTTCACAGTGGACTTTAAAGATCACGTGAGGTTATTTGCGAGAGCAATGCGTGCCTGTGCCTGTGTCACTGTCCACATTTGATGATTATAAAAATAGTTACCAGCAATTGACTCGGATGGTATTGCAAGATACAATCATCGCCCCTCCTGAACAGAGTTCTGACCCATTGAGACTCCTGGGTAAACAGACGTTGTCATAATAATAATATACTTCAACTTGTTTTTTTCAGGGTTTTTTTTTTAAACGTCATTTGCTCAAGAAATTAATTTGGCAATGGCAGGCTAATAAACTTGTAGCAAAAAACATGGCTGTTTTGTAGGATTTATTTAAAAAGTGTTTAATCGTTTCAACAAACTCTTTCTCAGTCACTGATATTATCAACGCATCTTTTGTGAAAAGCACTTCGTTACTCTCTGCATGGATCTTGTTTTTTCATGTTGGTAAATCCAACTTTTTGTTCACCAAGATTGGCCCAGTGTTCATCTGTAATCGCTTTATTGACCACACTCATTGCCATGGCAACAGTGTCTGGACAGAAGAGCGTGTGTGTAACGACCTAATGCACCTTGGTAGCGATGGGTGTCATTATTTGTGCTTTGTACGGCTTGCTTCCCTGTTAAAGGAATTGGGCTTGACCGATAAAAGACTTTGAATAAACCGTTGTGCCCAGCGGCACAAACTTGCCATAACGGGAATACTTAAATACATCGGTGGTTTGTGCGTGTGCATGTTTTTACTGTAAAGGGTGTATTTGTCTACGGATTCATCAGTGTAAGGTATAAGCCCTGTAACAATGCGGAAGGCCAGAACAGAATCTACTCTGATACTACGAGACATTTAGAATGCAATGGTGCGAATTGATTTCATGTCCAGACCGGCGAGGCAGAGAAAGGTGTTGCCTGTACCCCGTGGTGTAGGTGGCATGGTGAAAAATCCCACAAACCAAAACTAGTCAGGGTAAGGCATTTGAGGACAGCTTTTCCAATTGTAATATACATAATGGCCTCAAAGGCCATTTTCATAAAAAACAAGAATGCACCTCTATTCAAAGAGCTGCGTGTTGCTTTCCACTCTCAGCGCACTGCTCGATTCGTGCCCAGTTCTCCTTGCCAGATTCTTCCAAGAACATGGCTGCATTCTAAGTATGCTCCCTGTTAAGTCCCCAAAGGGAATTGTAACATGTTGGGCTTCAAGAGTGTGGCCACATCGCATCCGATCCCCTCCCAGTCCATTGTCCACTGAATTCCTGATTCAAATATTCCCGCATTGCGAGGTCGTAAAGTGCCAGAGCCCCATCATGCAAGGGGACGATGTATGTTGGTCTTCCCCCTCCCTTAGCCCCAATGTATTCCAGGTGTGTTATCATTTAATGCGCCATTTTCATCTCATATAATGTGCGCATATTTGCATTGTTTATTCACTACGCTGCCTGAACGTAATTTGGAAATATTTTAATTTTGTGTCCCAGACTGATATGATATGTTATTACTTCCCCGTGAGGATGTTCTTAAAGTGCCCTTTTTTTTTCAGCAAGATATTGAATGATTTTTTGTTATAAAACCAAAACACATATATTAACACGTATGCTGTGTACGGTTGGTAGCAATATTTTTCTAAATGTAGAACAGTAAAAGTATATTTATTGTTAATGTTATTTCTACTCGGTGATGTAACACATCACACATCACACTGCATTCCCACGGCTGCTTGATTAAACAGGTGACAATTGTAAGCTCCTCGTTCTGTAGAATTTGGATCTCTTCCCCACACGATGCAATTTGATAGAAAGAAAGCAACTGCTGGCATTGTTTATATATATTTCATACTTATAACTTTTGCTGTAGAACGTTGGACGACAAAAAAATCGCACACAAATATCCACCAGGCCCATGTACCCGACGCGTCCTGGTTGATGGGGGGCGGGGGGCAGACAACCCGAGGAACTGCTGACATTGTTAAGAGAAAAAAAACGAAATCCTCACTGCCCGAGTTGGATGGATGTTGGCCTAGGAATGGGGCTTGCGGGGCCCCTCCGGTTATCCAAACACACCTTACCCTTACAGTCGCACGGTTCAGCACACTCTCATTGACCACTGTCCATGGGCGCCTTCTGTCCCACACTCATTCATCACCGTCCGCAACTAGGTCGAGGCCTAAATGAAGGCACTTGCTGCGCATTTGAGATTAATTTGGGTGTTGGGCATCGAGCTTGTGGGCTGCACAAGCTGCTTGCAAGCACAAGTACAAGGCCTAAGCCACAACAATAAAACATTTGGTTGAATGGGCCACTGCGTCGCAGCTAATATGCAAGTGCCCCCTTTCGTCTGTGTTAAAACACGTACGTCTTAACATGTAGACTGCCGTAGAAAAATGTGTGGACATAATTGGAGTCGAGTTGTGATTATATTTTCCCAGAAGGTTGTTTTGTTGACCTGAAAAGTTATGGTTAATATTTGGTTCCTGGGATTTTAACACAGGACATAACACAGGACATTCCAGCTGCGTGGAGCTGCATGAGTAGACACTCGTTTGAAAGGGAAACTACTTATTTGGAGAGAAAGAGTTAAAACCTAGAAAATGTATTATTCGGTCGATTTGACAATTTACCACGATCACTTAAATAACACCTCCATTAAAAACAGTACTCAAGTGTGCCTATATCGACAAATGCTCTAGCACTTGCTTCCAGTCTGGTCTTCCAATAGTTACCTATGCCACTGCAGCGTGTGTTCCCCTGGCTACTTGTTATTAACAGCGAGGAGGGGGGGGGGGGTGAGATAAGGGCTGTGTGATTGAGAGGTGGGGTGGTTCTGGAGCCTTCGTGAGTCCGTTACCACCACAAACAGCAGGACTCTCTTGTGAAGGAGGCTTTTATCTCTATGCATACTCTGACGTCATACGGACTCAAGGTGTTACTCTTTTGCTTGAGTGAAACCAGTTAAAAATAACAAAGTTGTAGTCGTTTTAAATTTTTCACGGGAGAAGTTTGATCAATTCTACAATTTCGGACGTACAGTTTGGGTACTTTAAATATGTGGGTAATTGGTTTAAGTATGAAGTGGCTTTTGGACTTGGGCATAGTGTGTCAACCAATTTTGAATGTTTATGCAGAGAGAAATAACTTGCCCATGCTAAGGGACAAATACTTGGGACGAATTGATTGTTTTATCCATGCTGAGATGGTGGAAATGCATTCCATTTTAAATATACGTGTCAAAACACCAGATTATGCCACAAAAAAAGCTTTTTTTCTAAAAGTATGCATACTTACCTTTGAAATGCCATCTCTTAAATTGTCTTAGAATGACTTGGAAATGTTGACTGGATTTGTAGAAATGCCTATATACAGTTTTTCTTTGTTAGGTCCGTTGATGTACGGTACTAATCACGTGGAATCTTGTAGGCATGTAACAGTTCACACCCTGTGATGCGCTGAAAAGGTGTGATTCTGGATTGTGATTTCATTCAA